CTCCTTCTGCCCTTCCTCCTTCTCTTCCTCCTTCCTCCTCCCATCCTCCTTCTCCTCCTCTTCCCCTTCCTTCCCTTCCTTCTCCCCGTCCTCCTCCTCCCCTTCTTCTCCTTCCCCTTCTTCTCCTCCTCTTCTCCTCCTTCTGCCCTTCCTCCTTCTCTTCCTCCTCCTCCTTCCTCCTCCCCTCCTTCTCCTCCTTCCCCTTCTCCTCCTCCTCTTCCTCCTCCTCCTTCTGCCCTTCCTCCTTCTCCTTTTTTAAAAAAAAAAAACACATTGAAAACAATCAGCAGCTCCTAAAGCAACCACAATAACCTGGCACCTGTGTGTATCCCACAGGGTTTTAGAAAAGAAACAAGGGAAAGGAAAATTTTGTAATTTGTATTTATATTTGTATTTGTATTTTTTTGTAACCACCCAGAGTCACTGAGAGTGAGTGGGCGGCCATATAAATTCAAATAAATAAATACTGGGAGATCCATAGGAACCTTTAAATTCTCATTCATAAATAAATAAATATAAATAAATAAATAAACAAATCTGGGAGATATATAGAAACCTTTAAATTCTCATAATAAATAAAGAAAGAAATACTGGGAAATGTATAGAAACCTTTACATTTAAATACATACATACATTCATACATACATACATACATACTGGGTGATGTATTGAAACCTTTACATTCTCATTAATAAAAAAAATACTGGGAGATATATAGAAACCTTTTCCCAAACTTCCCCTTGACAATTTGCAATATTTTGTATTTCTGTTGAGCAGATATTGTATGTAACCTTGTGCTTTCACTGTGCCAACCTCTAGAATGCATGAAGCAATCACTCTGTATGCACCTGCAGCTAGTCCTCAGTCCACAATCATTCAGTTAGCAACTGTTTGAAGTTACAACGGCACTGGGAAAAGGGACTTGCTCCAGGTCCTTGCACTTAACAACCGTTGCAGCATCCCCATGATCACGGGATCAACATTCATGAGGTTGGCAACCAGCGTGCATTTAAACAATTGCAATGTCCCCGGGATCACATGGTCACCATTTGCCACATTCCCAGCTTGCTTCTAACGAGCAAAGTTGGGGAAACTGAGTCGCTTAAAGAGCATGCGATTCATTTAACGACTGCAAGGATTTGCTCAGCATCCATGGCAAAAAAAAATGCGGTAAAATCAGGCAGGACTCACTTAACAATTGCCTTGCTTAGCAATGGGAATACCAGTCCCAATTGTAGTCATAAGTGGAAGACTTATGTACTCTATAGCAGAGGTCCCCAATCCCTGGGCTGTGGACCGGTACCGGGCCGCGGCATGCCAGCAACCGCTCCGCACAAACAAGCAAAGCCCCATCCGTGGGATGCAGGCAGCACACAAAACCACGCACTCTCCGGTCCGTGGAAAAACCTCTCTTCACGGAACCGGTCCCTGGTGCCCAAAAGGTTGGGGACCTCTGCTCTATAGGTATATTTAAAAAAAAAAAAAGGCAGTAGCACAGCTGATAAATGGAACGAGCCTTTTTGGCCTGGTCTAACTCCTTGCCCAATTTTGTTGCCCGCTCCACAGGCTACCACCCCACTGTCACCCTGGCGCTGCGTTGTTTGGACGGCGTGTTCCTTTCTCCTATGGAGAATGACTTTGTTGACAAGATCATGGAGGAACTGGACCATTTTCTGCTACAGAACCAGCTGGAAAAGTAAGACGTTTTTCCCTCTCATTACCCCAACCCAACGTGAGTCTTGTCTGGCCGCAGAGCCTTTTCTGGCAGAAAAGCCAGGAGCGCATTTTAAAAATGGTACTGTAAGATCCATGAAATTTAGCTCCACTTTTCCTTTTCAAAGTAAGGCTGTGCATGAAATGTTCCTCTCCTACCAAGCTTGGGTTTTGCTTCTGATTTGCATGCCTTATATATATATACTAGTTGTACCCAGCCACGCGTTGCTGTGGCTCAGTCTGGTTAAATGGAAAAGAAAGAAAAGAGTTTTTACCTGTCACAGGTGTGACATCTATATAATAGTAGGTATATAAAAACACGCGCGTATTCGAATGCAACGTTGTGTCAAAATTTCAAAGCAATCGGTGAAGAACGTTCGGAGATTTAAGATTTTGAACAAACGAACATTTACATTTTTATTTATATAGAAGATGTGTGTGTGTGTCTGTGTTTACATATGTATATGTGTGTGTATATATATGTATGTGTGTGTATATATGTATGTGTATATATATAGAAAGAGCCTGTGGCCTAGAGGTCAACACAGCTGCCTAACGTGCAAGCAGCCCAGGTTCGAATCTCAGAAGGGTATGGCTGGCTGATGAGAGCTAATTAGCTCGAAATAGCTATACCAGTCTCCCTTTAATTCTTTATTAGCAATCCAAAAATTTGGCATAAAAAATGATGTCGCAGTAGCGACTGCTGCCTGAGGATAGCTCTAGATTGGGCTGATACAGGCATAAGATTTCTTCTTCCCATATTTGGGCCAACAGGGTGCATCGAAAAAACACTCAAGACACACATACACACACACACATTATTTTTATTTATTTATTTGTATCCCGCCTTTATTATTTTGACCCAAGGCAGCAGACATACCCAACTCACCTTTCTCCTCTTTTCCACACAACAACAACAACCGTGTGAGGTGGGTTAGGCTAAGAGAGAGACTGACTGGCCCAAATTCACCCAGCTGGCTTTCACGGCTAAGGCGGGACATGAACTCGGGGTCTCCAGCTTTCAAGCCTTGTGCCTTAACCACTGGACCAAACAGGGTTTCTGACTCTCTTCTTGGGGCTGCTAAATTGTCCCTTTCTTAACTAGAAAGTCAAAGGGTCCCTATGGATTTTACTCTGCTAGTCGTTGCTGGGCAGTGGTTATCTCCGTTTCAAGGCCTTTGAGCCAGCACAGTGGGAAGACGTTTCCATGGTGACGTGGCCAGCATGACATCACAGAGCGCTGCTACCTTCCCACCGAAGTGGTACCTATTTTATCTACTCGCATTTCCCTGCTTTTGAACTGCTAGTTGGCAGGAGCCCGGAAGAGGACGGGAGCTCCGCCCTTTCTCAAAATCAGCAACTGATTTTATTCTGTGGTCTTCTTTTCTTGCAGAGTCCTCTTGTTTCCCCCTCTGTCTAGTCGCCTGAGATACTTGATCCACCGAACCGTCGATGACGTTGATCTCCTGAGCAGCTTCTCTGTTGGAGAAGGATGGAGAAGAAGGACGGTGGTCTGTCATGCGGCAGTCAGGTGGGAGGCTCCCGTTTTTTTTTTAAAGGCTAGCTTTTGGTGCTAGGAACTGAAGAAGAGGTTACACGAATACATAAGATTTCGTTTATTTTTAAAATGAAAGCAAAAGTAAATTAAATGCATTGGATGAATGAGAGATTGAGATTGTGCTCAAGAGCCCACAAGCAGCAGAATGAGATTAGTCGCGTTTTGGAAGGAAGACCACTCAAGAAGACAGCCTAAGACATTTGATTCTCTAGAGCAGGGGTCTTCAAACTTGGCCCTTTTATGACTTGTGGACTTCAACTCCCAGAATTCCTCAGCCAGACCTCCAAGGTCCCTTCCAGCTCTATTCTGATTGGTTGACTTCCTTGTTAGCATCTTAGCACCGTCCTGGAAGGAAATCCCTAAAATCCAGGGATGGTGACCAGTAAACATCTATGCTGGATTCTTTAGTAAGGCAAACTCCTGATTTTGTCTTTGCACGGGGTAGTCAAAATGGGATGCGTTTGGTCTTGAGTTCTAGACATTGACTTGCCCGTTTCTTCTATTTTGGACTCTTCTCTTGGATTTAGGTTGCCCGATGAGCCAGACTGCCCCAATGGTGCTGTTGAAGCGTCTCACTTCAACCACCCCCCCTATGCCAGAAGCAGAGGGAGCCGATCCAGAGGAGGCCCGCGGCAGATGGAAGCCTTGGCCAACAGTTCCCAAGCTCGAAGAGGCAACGGCCGGGCTAGAAGACAGCCCCCCAAAAAGCCAGACAGAGCTCTCTACGTCCCTAGGGCGATGCGGAAGAAGCTGGAGGACCTGGGGCAAGGTAGCTCCACAGAAACATTTGAGAGTGGGCTGCATTGTATGAGCAACAACAAGGAGGAATGTCAAGCATCCAGGGCCTCCTCTGGCAGTGAAAGGATTCCAGATGGAACCAGGTTATCCAGCAAGACCGAATGTGAAAACACAAAGGCTCAAAGCCCCCCCAAGCAAAGATATTCAGATATGGAGCCTGGTAATCAAAGCGGCAGAGATGCTCTGGGCTGCCCAGATGTTTCTCTTTGGAAGGATGCACCCAGGGCATCTTACCTGGAAAAGCAAGAGAATGTGAAGTTGGCCTCATCGGGATCCAAAAGCAGTCCAAACCTGTCTGAAATAGATCCCCAACACAAAGACGGCAGAAACGTCTTTGTCCCAGAAAGCTGTGAAAACTCAGGTCTTCTGGAAGGACTGATGGAGACTTTTGTTGATTCTCTCTCCAAATTAAGTGGACATTCTCCTTTGCCTGAAGGCCAGAAGATCGAAGCTCCAGACGTCCAAGAGTTGAGCACAAAGCCATTCTTTCTAGGAGATTCCCATAAAAGCGGCCAGGGTTCCATTCTGTTAGAAAGTGTCCTGTCCCTTCCTGAAAACAGTGGGGCAGATGCTTCAAATGCTTTTCTGTTGAACTCTAACGAGGACTTGCCCCTCTTTGAAAATGACCACAGGACATGCCTATATGCCAGTGGAGGAGAGGAGGGCAAGCTTCTCCCAGGCCTGGAAACGAGAACCACAGAGTCCTCCAAGGACGACAGTGAGGTGCCGGTGGAAACCCAATCTAAAGATTGCACCGTTGCACTTCCGTTCGAGCATGGCCAAGCCCAGCCATCTCAAGTCACGAAGGAGGACTTCTTGGTGTGGGACGGTTGCAAGACTCCATCTCGGCTAAACCCTCAAGCCCAACCCTACTTGCAGACCAGTCCCAGCAAAGCCAAGCTACCGTTTGAAAGCCAGAAGAAAGAGTCAGTAGCCCCGGAGGGACCTCAGTGGCCGGGGGTCGAGCTGTCCGCTGGGGACAGAAGCACGGCTGTTTCTTCAGCAGAAGGAAAGGGCGGCCTTTTCGAAGATGACTGCGGGGCCGAACTCTTGCAAGAGGTAACAGCAAGCTGTCGCTATCTGTTTCCACCAGCCCGGCTTTATTTAATGGAAATCATTTTAATTTAACTTCCAGGTAGTCCTCGAGTTAGAACCACAACTGAGCCCAAACATTTATGTGGCCAAGTGAAACATTTGTTAAGTGGAGTTTTGCCCCATTGGACAACTCTTCTTGCCTCAGTTGTTGAGTGAATCGTTGCATTTGTTAAGTTAGTAACACGGTCGTTAAGCGAATCTGGCTTCCCCCATTGACTTTGTGCATCAGAAAGTCGCAAAAGCGGATCACATGGCGCACACACACACACACACGCACGCATGCACCCTGGATGCTGCAACCATCATGGTTTGCTTGCTGCACAATAGCAGATAGGAAAGCGCTCCAGAGGGTCATTACTATCGCCCAGAGGATTATTGGTTGCCCTCCCCCACCCCCCACCCGGACGAACTGTACAGTTCCCGTTGTCTTAGGAAAGCTCAAAATATTCTTAAAGACTCATCTCATCCCGGACATTCTTTTTTTGAACTATGACCATCTGGAAGACGGTACAGGACAATAAAAACAAAGACAAATAGGCTGAAAAATAGTTTTTAATCCCAGAGCTGTAACCACAGTATAGTGCAACATTGAAGTGCAATATTAGGGGCAGCGCAATGGTGAATAGAATGTGAAGGATGTGTGTATATAGTGTATGTTCTTATTTGTGGTTTTTACTTGCGTGGAGTGTGCACTGTGGACAGCACTTAATTTCGTTGTGAGTTACATGATGACCATAAAGATACTCTATCATAAATATGAACTACATGATCAAAATTCAGACGCTTGGCATCTGACTCATATTTATGACGATTACAGGGTCTCAGGATCAGGCAGTGATGCACTTCATAAATATGGCAAGAAAAGTTGTAAAATAGGGCAAAATTCACGTAACAAATGTCTCACTTAGCAACAGAAATTTTGGGCTCAGTTGTGGTCGTAAGCTGAGGACTACCTCTATTTTTTGCCCTTTTTTTGTGTGCATGTCAACTGTTCACTGACTGACTTGACAGGCTGCATTAAACCCGTAAACCATCGTTTCTTGAATACACCAGTTTGGTTTCACACACGTGAAGTGAAACCCATGGTCTTTGGTAAAGTACCTGTCTGATTTTAACACGTGTCATTTTTTTGTTCTTCCCAATTGGAAGTTTGTTCCACAATAAGCATCGTTTGCAGCTATGTTATTTCCTGGCCAAAAAATAAAATAAACAGATTTTGGCTTAGCCTGAGTTAGAAACCTGATATTTCTCAGCGGGCTGTTTGTCACTTAGCAGAGACTATTCCCAATCTGATTCTTCTTTCCTTGGAACTGAAAAGCAGTGCAAAATACCTAATACACAAACATTAATCTTTCTTGATTTGAGTCCATTTTTTTTATCCACTGCAGTTGAACAGCTTTTGATTGTTAATGAATAATTCCCCTCTTAGGAGTTCAAGCAGCGTAAAAAAAATTAGATATGAACGTGTGTAGTCTTTAAGGGCAGGGAGAGCAGAACTATCTTAAGGAGTATCGTTGCTGTTTTAAATATTTTAGATAGAATTCTTTATTGGCCAAGTGTGATTGCACACAGAAGGAATTTTTCTCCCGTGCATAAGCTCTCAGTGTACATACAAGCAACAAAGTGATAAATCACGATCGTAATCGTAAGATAACAATCATCATAAAACATAGGATGCAAGGACTCAGTGGTAGTCATAGGATACTAATTAAGCAATCGACATAAACCATAATAGGATACTAAATAAAAGCAATCAACATAAATCATAAGATGCAAACAAAGTTACACATTCTGTGTATTTTATTGTTTAAAGTTTTTACATTTTCAACTGTTTTATAGAGGCTTCATCAAAATTGCTAGTCTTATCTCATCAGTAGAATTGTATGCCTGCAAAGCTATTTCTGGGCTTCTATCCCTTTTATGGGTTTGGAGAATTGCTCTGTGAACATAAATTAGAGGAATTTATTAGCTAATAGATGGCCATATGAATTATAATTATAGACATCTGATTCTACCATGGCACTTTAGCTGTTGCTTAAAATGTTAAAAAAAAACCACATCCAGAATGACCATTGTCTAGTTTTGCTGATGATGGTTTGCACTGATTCTTACTGTATAGAAGTGAAGATGTAAAGGTGATTTGATATTTTTTTTTTGCTCTTTTTCAGATCACAAATTATTTGACCATAAAGGACATAAGCATTGAGAAGATTCAGTTTGATTACTCCAGTTACGGGGAGGCACAGATCAACGAAGGAGATTTTGGCCACGTGCTAGAGATCTATGATTTTTCCCCATTGCTGAAAACAGAACATCTTATGGAGACATTTTCCGATTTCCAGTAAGTGGTGGGCTAAAAAGCGTGGTGTTTCCTGTTCAGGACCGTCCCAGTATTTAGGTCCAAAAGCAGAATCTCCTTTCTGCAGGGGAAATATATTGTAATTTCACAGAGATGTAAATGTAACTTTACAGAGTCTATGGAGATTCTCAATCATCTGAGGTCATGGTTGTCCCAAAGGTGCTTTTCCACAAGGCAACTGGACTTTCTTGTTTTTCTTTGAAGACGTTTCGCTTCTCATCCAGGAAGCTTCTTCAGCCCTGACTGAATGGTGGAGGATGGAAGGATTTATATTCCTTGCAGTCACCTGTTGGCACTCTTTCTGAGAGTTGTTGAGGCTACTGGAAGGTTTATCTGTGCCCTCAGGGACATCTGAATACGTAGCGCAAATGGGTGTGGAAACGTCATGGAACTGCGGAAAGGACTGTGTGGTAAATGGGAGATAGATAGTGTCGTATCTCTCCCCCTCTGTTGAGAGAGGGCCGTTCAAATTTAATTAATTAAGATGGCCCGTTTGATCCCTCTTTATAATAATAATAATAATAATAATAAAGTTGGAAGGGACCTTGGAGGTCATCGAGTCCAACCCCCTGCCCAGGCAGGAACCCTACACCATTTCAGACAAACGACTGTCCAGTCTCTTCTTAAAAACTTCCAGTGTTGGAGCATTCACCACTTCTGGAGGCAGGTTGTTCCACTGGTTAATTGTTCTAACTGTCAGGAAGTTTCTCCTTAGTTCTAGGTTGCTTCTCTCCTTGATCAGTTTCCACCCGTTGCTTCTCGTCCTGCCTTCAGGCGCCTTGGAGAATAGCTTGACTCCCTCTTCTTNCTCTCAACAATCTGGGTCCTCATTTTACCGACCGTGGAAGGATGGAAGGCTGAGTCAAACTTCAGCGAGTGAGAATCGAATTGCCAAACTGCTGGCAGCTGGCAGTCAGCAGAATTAGTTTGCAGTACTGCACTCTAACTCGTGCGCTACCAAGGTAGAGTAGAGTAGAGTAGAGTAGAGTAGAGTAGAGTAGAGTAGAGTAGAGTAGAGTAGAGTAGAGTAGAGTTCTATTCTATTCTATTCTATTCTAGTCTAGTCTAGTCTAGTCTAGTCTAGTCTAGTCTAGTCTAGTCTAGTCTAGTCTAGTCTATAGTCTAGTCTAGTCTATTCATCTAACTACACCACCAAATGCATTATTCCTGCTGAAGTTGTACATAGACAGCTTCGCACGAGGGACCCATGTCACCCCATTTTGAACCCCTCTATACCTATAACCATCCCAGTGCCTTCTCTTCTGCTTACTGGGCAGGAATACAGGAAACGCTTGGAGGGAGATGAAAGCGTCAGGCCTGCTTTTGCATGAAATCTTAACTCCTGTGAAACTATGACATTTAAAGAAAAGTAACTCTGATCTGTCTCTTTCAGAGAGAGTGGATTTAAGTTGCAGTGGGTTGATGACACTCATGCCCTCGGGATCTTTTCCAGTTTGGCAGCAGGTAATTTTGCCTTTGTGTGTGTGTGTGTGTGTGTCCCCGTACGTGTGTATGCAGCCTATTTTCTTGTTTTCTCCCTCCTGTGGTTGGTGGATGGAAGCTCAAGTGGGTAAAAACGACTTCGTTGGGGGCCACGATAATCACACAGTGCTGGGATTTGGGAGGTAGGGATTTCATTAGCAGCTTTGTATCTTCGAGGGACTGTCACAAAGTAGGTTGATTTGTTCTCTAGGGCACCAGAGGGCAGGACAAGAAGTAATGGGTGGAAACTTATCAAAGAGAGATCCACTCTAGAATTGAGGACAAATCTCCTGAGAACAATTAGTCAGTGGAAAAGCTTGCCTCCTGGAATTGTGGGTGCTCAGTCGCTGTGAGTTTTCTGAACAACTATTTGGCAGGGATGGTGTAAAGCAGGGGTCTGCAACCTTGACAACTCTAAGGCTTGTGGACTTCAGCTCCCAGAATTTCTCAGCCAGGGAGGGAGGGGGGGTGGGAGGAAGGAAGGAAGGAAAGGAAGGAAGGAAGGAAGGAAGGAAGGAAGGGAGGGAGGGAGGGAGGGAGGGAGGGAGGAAGGAAAACAAAGAGAAGGAAGGAAGGAAGCTGTGGTGGTAACAGTGGTTAGAATACAGTATTGCAGGCTAATTCAGCTCACTGCCAGGAGTTTGATCCGCACCAACTCAAGGTTGACTCGGCCTTCCATCCTTCTGAGGTCGGTAAAATGAGGACCCAGATTGTCGGGCAATATGCTGACTCTATAAACTGCTTAGAGAGAGCTGTAAAGCACTATGAAGCGGTATATAAGTCTTAAGTGCTATTGCTATTGCTACATTAGTCAGGAGACCACAGCGTTAGTACAAAGTAATGCTTTGGCTGCCGACAATCGCCCCCCAAGACAACCTCCCATAAAGAATTCTCTTCTATGAGACCACCTCATTGAGTTCAAAAGCATCTGCTGTGAATCGGTGTCTCAAAGGATTCTCTCTCGTTGTTCAGCATCTCAAGCCCTGGAACAGAACTATACCTCCGTCAAGATCCGGCCTCTGATCCATGGAGCAAGACAGTCGAAAATCAAGGCACTTCAGCGGCCAAGTAAGATATGTAATCAGTTTGGCACGCCTCCTCCTGAAAACAGTGGAAGTCCTATTTGACTTCTATGCAAGCAGTCAGTCAGTCAGTCAGTCAGTCAGTCTGTCTCTCTCTCTCTCTCCCCTTCTTCTTCTTCTTCTTCTTCTTCTTCTTCTTCTTCTTCTTCTTCTTCTTCTTCTTCTTCTTCTTCTTCTTCTTCTTCTTCTTCTTCTTCTTCTTCTTCTTCTTCTTCTTCTTCTTCTTCTTCTTCTTCTTCTTCTTCTTCTTCTTCTTCTTCTTCTTCT